GGTGGTAGATGACAGATCAAGGAGCAATGGTCTCGGGTGTCAACAAAGGAAGTTTAGGTTAGATATTAGGAGAAGCTTTCTCTTTAGGAGGGTAGTGTAGCACTGGAACAGGCTACCCTGACAGGTTGTGGAATCTCCATCCTTGGAGGTTTTTAAGACCCAGGTAGACAAAGCCTTGGCTAAGATGATCTAGTTGGGGTGGTCCTACTTTGAGTAAGGGGTTGGACTAAATGACCTTCTGAGGTCCCTTCCAACCATAATTTTCTATGATAATCTTTTATCGTCAGACATCCCTGGGAGGTAAGGAAGTGAAATGATGTAAGGAACAGAAAGACTAAGGCCTGGATTCACAAAGGGACTTGGGTATTGTGAGGTTATCTTATAGCACCTAACTTTTCTCACTGGAGTGGGATTCATAGTCCTGAGCTGGGTGCCTAAGCTCCCATATACAATGCATGAGATTTTAGTGCCCCAGAATGGGATGCACAAGAGCTAGTATGCTAAGCAGAGAGCAACCTAAACCAGCCACTAGCTGACAATAAGGATGTACTGGAGGTATGCCCTATTCCATAAGTACCACCTTTGACTTTTTATTCCAAGTCCTAAACCTTTCCCTTGGGCCAAAGAGCGAGGATAAGCTAACGAGCATGACTCTGTAGCCTGGTACTTAGGACCCTCACCTGGGAAGGGGAAAGACCTGCCCCAAAGCTTTTTTACATATTTTACATTGAAGTAATTGGCAGAGACATAACTATACCTTTTATTGCCCTGTGCAAAACTTCAGAAGGTGAGAGAGTAAGTGCTCCTTTTCTATGTCGAAGGAGCTGGGTGCCAGGACACAGCAGGAGCAGCAGCCCTGCATCACCTGGCTCTAGAAACTAAGCTAGAAAAGCCTTGCCTTACCTGCCCCAGGGACTTAAAGACCCCTGCTGCCTCTGCCATCTCCCTGCACCTGGCTCCTCTAGCTGGGTGGCACAGGGTTGCTCCAGCTTGGCTCCTATGGCTCGGAGGTGCAGGGCTGCTCCAGATGCAACAGACTCTGGGTCGGGGGGTATCACTCCAGAGCCTCCCCTCATTTGTCACCTGAGACTGGTGCCTTTCTTTCCCACTGCCCTTCCCCCCACCAAGTCATGCTTCTGGTTACTGGATAAAAGGCAAGTGCCTCAGTGCTTCACATGGAGGCAACAGTAGTCCATGCCATCACCACAAGGGCAGCAGCTTCTGTATGAGGAGGTAAGTACTCACTTCCCTCCTCTTCCTTTGCTGCCCACCCTGAACTACCCTCACAGCTGCTCAGGAGACCTTTGTTCCTGGGGTACTTGAAAGTAGTTGTTGGGGCATCCTGAGGGCAGCTTCACTGCTGCGTTTCTGGGTTTGGTGCATGTGAGTGGGGCCAGCTCAGCAGCACTGGCAGTGCAGTGTAGACATCCTACATGGTATCAAGCTGCTTGATACTGAGATACCTCTGGGCGTGCACAGGAGCAGAGCTCTAAGTGCATTAGAAATTTTACTGATTTAAAACGTACGTGTCTACAGACTACATCTATATACAGTTAGTTAGAGGATTGGGAGGATCATGCTCTTGGACCTAGGTGTCTCAGTTCTGCATAAATCCTTTGGGGAGGTGGATCTAAAGGTATAGTTACTTCTGCCAGACATTTCCAGTCATGTTCTGTGTAGCTACTCTCTTGATGTGCCCCAAACCCAGAAATATACCAGTGAGGCAACTCAGGGGTACCCTCTGTGCCTGGCATTTCTGTGTATCAAGTATTAGCACCGTTTAGGATAGGGAGAATGGGGCACCAGAGTTATAGTCTCCAGTGAGCCTGCACTGCCACAGCAGTGATCCATGGTCAGTACTTTGCACTGAGGCAGCAGGAACCCATGCCATACAGAAGCTACTGCCCTCATGGTGATAAGTGTCACAACCCAGTGATTTTGGTGCCTTGGCACGATGGAATTTTCCTGCCACATGAGAGCCTCTTGCAAAGCAAAGCGTTTTCCATTGCAACAGAAAACCCCGGTGCAAGAGAGTTCCCGCCATTCGAATGCAAATTTGTGTCCCGTTATTGGCCAGTTCTAAATTATTCCTATGTGGCGGCTAGTAATTGGCTTGCTAGCCATTTAAAATTCCGTGCGACTTCCGCCCAAGTCGGAGAACTTTGAGCATGCTGCAGAGTGCTTCTGAAAGAGATCTGATGTGGCTGAGCTGATCGATAGACTGATCACCTATCGATTCTTCTCCCCGTCGCCGAGCGCAATCCCAGACATACCCTTTCCCCGCCGGCTTAAATTGCGGACGGATTAACTGGCTTGGGCCCCGCCAGCTGGAACAACTCACATAGTTGTTCAGACGACTGGACCATCTGCGTCGCAACTACAAGTGGCGTAAATAAATGTTTTTGCAACCATTAAACCTTGTCTACCTCTCCATTCACCAGCCCGCCCAACGAACGAGCAATTTCTAAATCACCTCGAGTCGGCTCTGGCCGTCCGAGACAATAAGGAGGTAAGCACTCACTCCGTTCTTTCTCCTCCTCTGCCCACCCTGTCCCACCCACATTTTAAGTTATACCTCTGATATGGAGCCTGTCAGGGGGAGCAGGCAGGTAGGGGAGCTCAGGGATTTCCTGGTTTACAAAGCTGTCATGGTGTAGACATGTCCTAAGTCATTGCCTTAAGGTTACCCAGGAAGTCTATGACAAGAAATGAAACAGGACTCACTATCCAGTGCCCTGCTGCTACACCAGACTTACTTAAAAGTCCTTTCAGACTATGTTTTATTCAGATGTGTTTGGTGTAGATTAATCTTTGTTTTGTCTGAGTGAAACGAGATCCCCTACCTGTCAATGAAGTCTGAGTTGTGTGGAGTGCTAATTTACTCTACCATCCTGTAGCTCATGTTGAGAGAGAGAGTCCAGACTTTGCATTTTTATAATCTTTATACAGTTCTTCACACATGAAAAGGCCTATAGATCGCTCATTACCAAAAGTTTCAGGTATATTATAAATTCACTCAGCTTTGATCTTTAATTCAAACACATTTACTGCTAAAATAAATCCAGCAGGGGAAAAAAATTGCCATTTCCTGACTTGAAAGTAACATTGGCAGCATACTCTACTCTCCTTTTTTTAAAGAAAGCACTGAACTATATGCTTTTAGGTGTAATGACCTTCTCTCAAGAACTGCTTGGGTGATCAGCAGTGCTAGGAACTGCAGGTGAGCCCAATTATACCTCAGAATACTGTGAGCACTATGCAGAAAACCAGCAGGCAAACCTGTCCTTTAATATAGCTTAAAGGTTTCAAATATTTTTTTTCTGACCTTTAGTTAAAGGTTGCAGCCACCACTCGTTTGTCCTTATATTCTCCTCCATTTTCTCAGTAATTCAACTCACTTCCCTGAAATATTGATCTGTCTCTTGAACAATTAACATTTCAGACATAGGAATTCCTCACAGTATATTTGTAAATCATGTACATTTACATTGCCTTGGTAATATTTTAATAATAAATACTTGTCATAATAATAAACATAGGCATCACCTTTTGTCTACCACAGAGCATCAGTGATTCTGTGAAATGTACTTATTCTTTATGACATAGTTGTAGCTTCTTGCAAAAAGAAATACAACAGCCAATGTCTAGCCTCGGAGGATAGTGAGCAGGAGAACCAACTCTCCCAACTGACTCAGTTAAGGCATCTGCTAGGTTTTTAGGAAAAGA